TCAGTAAGCTGGACTTTAGTGAGCTGGACTTTAGTAAACTGGACTTTAGTGAGCCAGACTTTAGTGAGCTGGACTTTAGTAAACTGGACTTTAGTGAGCCGGACTTTAGTGAGCTGGACTTTAGTGAGCTGGACTTTAGTAAACTGGACTTTAGTGAGCCAGACTTTAGTGAACTGGACTTTAGTGAGCTGGACTTTAGTGAGCTGGACTTTAGTGAGCTGGACTTTAGTAAACTGGACTTTAGTGAGCTGGACTTTAGTAAGCTGGACTTTAGTGAGCTGGACTTTAGTGAGCTGGACTTTAGTGAGCTGGACTTTAGTAAGCTGGACTTTAGTGAGCCAGACTTTAGTGAACTCACGTTCTTGTAAATCTAAACTTGTTTGGATTGTTTTACAGCTGTAAACGTTTAAAGTTTTGTCTGATAGAGCTTTAGGGAGGTGCTGCCCCCTGGTGGAGAAGGAGTTGCAGTGAAACTTTTACTCTGTAAAACTTTATGTTTTAAACAGTAAAGTTTTAAAACTGCAGGAACTCTCTGAACCTTTTCAAAATAAAGCTGTGTTTTAGTTTAAAATTTAGAAAACTTTTACTTTGAAAGATTAATTTGTTCCAAATGTAAAATGTTGACATTTTAATTTCTGAACAAGTTCTGATCCTAACCCAACAGAACCATTGTTGGACCTGCTGCTCTGTCTGATGGTTCTGATGGTTCTGATGGTTCTGATAGTTCTGATGGTTCTGATAGTTCTGATGGTTCTGATGTTCTGATGGTTCTGAAGGTTCTGAAGGTTCTGATGGTTCTGATGTTCTCATGGTTCTGATGGTTCTGAAGGTTCTGATGTTCTCATGGTTCTGATGGTTCTGATGGTTCTGATGGTTCTGATAGTTCTGATGGTTCTGATGGTTCTGAAGGTTCTGAAGGTTCTGATGGTTCTGATGGTTCTGATAGTTCTGATGGTTCTGATGGTTCTGAAGGTTCTGAAGATTCTGATGGTTCTGATGGTTCTGATAGTTCTGATGGTTCTGATGGTTCTGAAGGTTCT